CTTCTCTCTCTCTCTCTTGCTCTCTCTCTCCTCTACAAGCGCAACCACCCCCCCCCCCCCCGCCCCTCCCCCCCAGCGCAGCCTTCCAGCACAGCCCTCCAGCACAACCCTCCAGCGCATGCTTCCAGCACAACCCTCCAGCACAACCCCCCAGCACAACCCCCCAGCAAAACCCTCCAGCACAACCCTGCAGCACAACCCCTCGGCACAACCTCTTGAGGTTTATCATCGTCGGCAGTTTTTTATCATCGGCAGTGGTCGATAGCAACTCCTGAGCTCTACGGGAACACGGCGGCGCGCAAATGATACCCATGTTTTTGAAAAAAACTTCATTTTGAAAAAGAATATATGTTTATTTAATTGTGAATTCCATTGAAATCTTTTCGAATTTGCGAAATCGAGCCGCCAGGCGCTTGAATGCCGCACTGCGTTCGAGATTTAGGCGAGAGCGTGTGCGACGCAATTTTCTCATGACACTTTTTTGTATAAAAAACGGCCTTATTTTTACAAACAAAAATATATATTTGGTTGCGAATTCCATTGAAATCCTCTCGAAATTGCGAATTCGAACCCGCGCGCGCCTGAATGTCACACTGCGTTCGATATTCGGGCAAAAGCGCGTGCGACGCAAATTTCTCATGAATGCGTCGCGCGCTTAAATCTCGAACGCAATGTGGCATTCAAGCGCCTGGCGGCTCGATTTCGCAATTTTGAAAGGATTGCAATGGAATTCGCAATTAAAAAAGTTTTTTTCCTTTTTTCAAAATGAAGTTTTTCAAACAATGCGTATAATTTGCGCGCCGCCGTCTTCCGGGAGAGCTCAGGAGTTGCGATTGATCAATGCCGATGATAAAAAACTGCCGACGATAATAAACTGCCGACGATAATAAACTTCAGAGGAGCGCGCGGCGGGAGAGAGAGAGAGAGAGAGAGAGAGAGGAGAAGAGAAAGAGAGAGAGAGAGAGAGCAGAGGAGAGAGAGAGAGATAGAGAGAGAGAGAGAGAGAGAGAGGAGAGAGAGAGAGAGTCTCACCCTTCTCTCTTCTTTCTCTCTCTCTCTCTCACACTCACTCTCTCTTCTCTCTCACTCTCTCCTCTACTTCTCTCTCTCTCTCTCTTCTCTTCTCTCTCTCTCTCCCCTCTCTTCTCTCTCTTCTCTCTCTTCTCTCTTCTCCTCTCTCCTCTCTCTTTCTCTCTCTCTCCCTTCCCTCTCTCTCTCTCTCTCTCTCTCTCTCTCGTTCATCTCATCTCATCTCATCTCATCTCATCTCATCTCATCTCATCTCATCTCATCTCATCTCATCTCTCTCTCTCTCTCTCTCTCTCTCTCTCTCTCCTTCTCCCTCCCTCTCTCCTCTTTCCCTCACTATCTCTCTCTGCTCAAGGTGAGCTGCTGAAGCAGAGCTGCTCAAGCAGATGGCTGCTCAGAGAGCAGAACCATATAATGAGACCTGCGAGAATGTCTCAAGCGAACCCGGCGTTTCTTCGAAGATGTCTCAAGCGAATCAAGCATGTTTTCAAGGATGTCTGAGGCGAAGCGAACAATTCTGCAAGAACGTCTCGAGGGGGGCCAAATGTTGATTCGAGGAAATCTCAAGCAACATGATTATCCTTGGTCTCTCTCTCTCTCTCTCTCTCTCTCTCTCTCTCTCTCTCTCTCTCTCTCTCTCTCTCTCAATCTCTCATCTTCATCCTCCTCTCTATCTCTCATCTCTCATCTCTCCAATCTCTATCTCTCATCTCTCATCTCTCATCTCACAATCTCTTCATCTCTCTCTCTCTCTCCTCTTCTCTCTCTCTCTCATCTCTCTCCTCTCCTCTCTCTCTCTCTCTCTCTCTCTCTCTCTCTCTCTCTCTCTCTCTCTCTCTCTCTCTCTCACTCTCTCTCTCACTCACTCTCTCTCTCTCTCTCTCACTATCTCTCTCTGCTCAAGCTGAGCTGCTGAAGCAGAGCTGCTCAAGCAGATGGCTGCTCAGAGAGCAGAACCAGACAATGAGACCTTCGAGAATGTCTCAAGCGAACCCAGCGTTTCTTCGAAGATGTATCAAGCGAATCAAGCATGTGTTCAAGGATGTCTGAGGCGAAGCGAACAATTCTGCAATAACGTTTCGAGCGAGGCCGAATGTTGATCCGAGGAAATCTCAAGCAACAGCACCATATGCTTATTTCAAACAGATCCAGCAGCGATGTCCAAGCATCGACTCGACAAGCATCGACTCGAGAACAACATTCGTGATTAGCCTCTTTGGCTCAAGCCTTTCGAGCAAGGCTTTCGAACCTCTCGAGCAGGCCACCACTCCAGCAAGCCTTTCGAGCCTGTCGCGCCTCGAGTACGACGAGCACGCCTGTCAAGCGGCAGTCAAGCTTGTCGAGCTTGTGGGGCCTTTCAAGCCCGAGCCCGGCGGACACTCCGACCTCCCACAAGAAGCTTCGAGCCTCGCCTCACTCGTCCGAGGAGGCCAAGAGCAATTTCTTCAAGGATCTCGAGCACAAGAGGCTC